TTATTAATGGGCCGATAATAAATGTTATTAATGGGCCGATAATAAATGCCATTAATGGGCCGATAATAAATTTTATTAATGGGCCGATAATAAATTTTAATCCTTAGTCAATAGCAAGCTGTAACAAGATACAATGCTGACAACAGAACGTTTACTCATACATAGTTTATTCTAGCATGATATTAAACATACCAACTTGGTGATATTAAAAAACAAAAGGGTTAGAAATAGTTTAAATAGTTTGGATTAAATTTGCTTAGGTTTCCATTCTTTTCTCTAAGCTATGAACAAAGAAACAAATAGACATGTATAATTCAAATAAATTAGATCAATTTATTGTAACAATTTGTAATCTTTAATGATTTTCAATTTAATTCAATTTGAAAATTGTAATGTACACAAAAATAAAGTTATTCCGTTTTTATTAGGCATTTGATTATATTTTATTTCTTGTTTTTTGTTTTACATTATTATTTAAAAATATATTTAAAATTAAATATTAATATTAATAATATTTATAAATTTAAATTTAAATTATTAAATTATTAAAGAAAATTAATTTTAATTTATAAAATTGTACACAATATAAAAGTTGTCCTATGAATTGATTATTTTTATAAAATAAATATCACAAAGTTATGAAATCCGTACTGCGTTAAACCAATTTTGTATTATTTTTAAGGTTCGTTAAATGTCTGCAGAACTTCGCTTAATTAAAGCTTATATAATAATTCGTAAACAAATAAAAAATGTAATAAATGTAAAATTTACTTTTTTTTAAAACGTCAAATGAAAAACACAAAATTCGTTATGTTTAATTAAAATCGCAGTGTAACACAACTAGACAAAATATTATAAATGGATATACATATACAAACATATTGTATAATAAGGATGCAGATTTAATTGTATCTATGTATATATATATAAGGGAAGGAGAAGCGGTATATTAAACAATAGATTATGGCGGAACAATACGTTCGTCTCGCACCGTAGATTCTCCAACCATCTACGTTCAATGTCGCAGCATACATTTGAAAATGTCAGGTGGGTTGACATGCCTATAGAACCAAGCGAATCGGTTGGTCCGATGACAGAGTTACGACCCATGAACTAAAACTTAAGCTGAAAATCGATACATCGACATATATACCTTACATTTACTCCCTTTACCATAAAAAAATAAAATACAGTTAACAATCATCACATAATAATCAAACACAATTTTCTTTTTCTTTTCTATATCAATAATAACAATCTAATATTAAAATTTTATTTCGATGTTCAAATATTCATCTTTTATATTTTTGTTATACTTTTATATAAATAAAAATATATTTTATATTTTAACATGAAAATAATAATTTACGTATCATTCGATAAATTGAAAAGTTTACGTATTTACGTTCTTACACATATTTCAAATTTTATTTCCACAAATGGAATTGTTACTTTAGATATTAAAAAAAAAAAAAAATGATATTAATGTTCCTTTAACTTGGTATAATTAAAACAATAATTTTTCTTACGACAAGATGAAAAATTGGGTTATAGAGAATTAAGTGTAGTACGGGGGTAGATCGATAAATAAGTAGTTGCCAATAATTGTACACTTTACACTAACTCCGTGTACACGTACACAATCTGAAAATAGAAGAGAAGAGAGAATTATCTGGTAATCCGTAGTGGGTTCTGATAAATCACTAAAGTTAGTAGAAGGTAATCGGAGGCATCGATTAAAAGAGCCATTAAAGAACCAACTTTGGATCTCTTATTTACCTGCGTGCATCGTCTTCAGAGACTCTTACTTTGTAATACCTCAGTAATATATATGCGCAAAGTTTAGAATTATTAGTATTCCCAAAGTAACTAGAAAGAAAAAACATAGAAATAACTATTCTGATTACTCGTTCAATAAATATTTGCTTTGTCTCGAAATAACTCATTGAATATATACTTATATATAATTATTAATACATACATTGAATATATACTAATTTGACACTTAAACTCATATTATTATAAAATGTCTATCATATTTATTGTCTTTGCAAGAAAATGCAACCTGGATGATAATAATCCGTTAGACTCGCTTCGGTTAACGCAACTCGTCGAATAAGACTTCGGTGTGTTGTAAATAAAGAGAAAGAGAAAGAGAGAGTAAGAGAGAGAGAGAGAGAGAGTAAGTCGTTCGACCAAGAGAGTAATTGTTTATATTTGCATGTAATTATTACCGCAAGGCTGGGCAAGAGAGTAATGCTAATACCAAGCAGCAGCACTTTCTAGAGTGGATGCTGCTCGTTAGCATCGTTAGCAATGAAAAAAACAAGATAGAAAGGAGGGTAAAAATGTATCGTAGTAACCCGTGGAATTGGAGCAACGAATGACGCGCCGGATGCTGAGAAAAGATGCCGACTATCTCGCACTCTTTACTTTACAAATTTGTCGAATGTCGTGGTGAGATGATATATCCGATATATCCTATACATATCCTATATACCCGAAATTCTGCCAAATTGTATAACACTTCAAATATTTCCATATTTTCTACCTCAACTATCGAATTTTTGTGATTGTATCTAATCAAAAAAGTTTTACATAAAAATAATACAGTTATATTGCATACATTCTAAACGATTATACGTTAATACTAAAAAAAAAATAATAAATTATATTTCTTCGTTCATTTAAAAAAATATTATTGAACTCGTTCGATTATTATCTCAATCGAAATTTATTATTTCAAAAAAGGTTCTCCTCAAAGAGAAAAAGCTTTTATCTTACCTTTTGACGATGTTTTTCTCTTTCTGTTACTAGACTGTAAATAGACTGACTTGTCTTCTAAGAAGATAAAAATATATGTGTACATTCAAATCACTTAGAGCGTTCGTTGATATTTACATTTCTTTGTTAACGTCGCAATACATGATAATATATGATAAAAACAAAATTTGTTTTTTTTTTGTTCTTTTCCAAGTAAATAATATTTATCGACTCGAAGATAGAAGTATCATCACATTGTTACTTATATTAAATATTATTTGAATATTTATAAAAATTTAAGTATTGATCACAAGTACTTTGTTAAATGATTTTAAAAGTGAAGTTAATCAATTTGCCTTGTAGACGGTTGATATTTCATTTGGAATTAAAAAAGGATCTTTATGCATTTTTCATTATATTTTTTTGTATGCAAATTGTATCTTTATAGTTGATAATACATGTAAATTTAAGATGTAATAGATAGATTTTATAAACAAAACATATATATATATATATATATATATATATATAAAACATTGTATAACGAGTTATATATTTGACAAATATGATACTGTGAGGGGGATTATAGAAAAATATAAAAATATTTCGATATAAGAACAAACAACTGTATAGAAAAGCTGACTTTTATCGACTGGAGAAATATAACAAAAGAAATACAGATAAAAAGCATTTGAAAAGCTTATCATCGTGACCATTCAAAAGGGAACTTTCCAAAAGTTTCTCGATAAAAGAACATCACAAACGAAAACTAGAAATCTACTTTTGTACGTGATAGTTGAAGGTATTATTTATTTTTCTATTAAGGAAAAATCAGATTACCGTTAATCGATCTAATGGAGAGACAACATTCACCACGAGACAGTCCAACCGCGAAAGACGATAAACGGCCACCATCCTACACCAACCACTATCATCCTATTTCCCTGGTCCATCCCAATTCTATCCTGAATGCATATGCATGTGCACAAAGATACGTTTGCAAATGTATATGCATATGTGTACAGTTATACACAAGTATACATATATATATATATATATATATATTATATATATATACTTATAGATATCCGTATGTAGATACGCATATCGGGTGAGTAATTTAATTGTCAATATTACGTTTTGAAATAAAATGAAATTAAATTACAAATAAAAATATCTATTTATCGTATGCTATCAAAAATTATTATTTATATATTATATTATAATTTTATAAATGTAATTAAGTAATTAAATTATAAATATTTTAAATACCTTAATAAAAATAATAACCTATTACACCGTAATATTATTTTAGAATATATATATATATATATATATATATATATTTATTTATTTTACTTTTTATTTATATATAAAATACTAGATCTATATATACTAGAATACTAGAATAATATATAATACTAGAATTATGTTAGATTTGTATATAAATATCGATATAGACGAAAAAACGAAATACAAAGAACTAGCATAGATTGGATGTAAAATTGACTATTATTTTTATATTTCTATTTGTACAATAAAATGAAAGAAGAGATAACTTAAAAAAAAAAAAATAAAAAATATAAAAAAAACAAGACTTCATGTCCGGTAACTCACTCACCCGGTATATATACGATCCATCCGAACAGAAGCATATCAAGAGCATCGCATCCATCGAATACGTGCTATGTTCTACAGAGAGTAAAATCGTCTCGCGAGTCTAGTTTCACCCCTTAACCACCCTTGTAAATACGAGTGCGCATGCCTGTGTTTATTCCCACAAAATACGTCGATCGAGCGTATCGGTCGCGATGCGTACGTATGTACGCGCTGGCTACTCGTTTGTACGCATGTACGACACATTATGTATACCTAAATACATACATAGATACTTACATGGTAACATATACATACATACATACATATATATACAAGTTGGACGAAGGGGACGAACTGAATTAGAATTGGCGCTTGAGCTCACCCTTTCCCAAGGGTTGCCGCTAATTAGGGTTTGTCACGGGTTTACCGCCTCGTCCAAGCTACTTAAATATTAATGTTGAGCATGCACGAACAACATAGTCGTTGTTCGATAGAACTCGAAACACACATATAACCATCATGCTGGTACTTATGTACTTTAATGAAATCAATGATTCCGAATCCTCTTGAATTCCGATGATAACTATCACCATAATTAGCTTCCTAACAATTGATATTAGTCGAAGAATCAATTTATCGTTATCATAAATCAAACGTTTCATAATTCTAATTAATAAAGTAAGAAAAGGGAAGGTATTCAAGCAAGAAGTCAAAGATTATTAATTAGTAAAACAAACTTTCATTTACGCTTGTTATATTAGTTTACATAGTATGGATTTACATGGAAGCTCGATAACTCTCATTCAAATGTTATCTTAGACATTGTAATTGTTTAGATAAGATTCTCTGCAATCCTGGAGCTTTTACGTAATCGCATGATTACATGTTTCTCTCTATCTCTCCTTCTGTGGTCTTAAGTTAATTAACTTGTCTTTAAATAATAATAATAATATAAGTGTATCAACACTTCGAGTGTTTAGTATTATGATACATATAAGAAAGAATTAAATGCATATGTAGAAACTTATTTCAATATTAAGCTAAATTATACAGAAAAATTTTACATTGATAAATAATTAGTTTAACTTAATAGAAAATTCATATTTACAACAAAAAAAAAGTTAAATCAAATTTATAGTTCTATATAAGCCTATAAAAATATATTTAATATTAAATAGGAATAAATTTACGTTTTGTTTAATATTAAATGCTTGAAACTAAATTAACTACATTTTAGATCATTAAAAGTTAATAATTATCTGCATAATTTTTATTAAATTAATTCTGTAAGTGTTGAAATAATCTATGCTATGCTTTCATTAAAAATGCAGCATCCATCTGCAGCGTTTACTTGGAAACTGTAAGGAACAATTATGAACAAAGCAAGAGACTATAAGATCGATCATTTCAGATGAGTTTTTGTGCTTTCTATTTTTCCCACGTTGCATACGAGTGAATCCTTATCGATCTTATTGTTAAACTAATATTAATTCAACTGCTTCCATCTGTTGCTAGTTGTAACACGTTTGAGTTTCATCTTATCATAGGTGCAATGGAAAAGCAGTTACCTGTAATATCCCACTAAGTTTCAGGGATTACCAACTGAAGGCAAAATATAATTCAAAATGATTTGTATTTTATTAATTTATTTTGTTTATATCGTAAAACAGACAATAATAATATATCGACAGAAAAACTTGTGTTAAACAATGATCGTTTTATTCTCTTTTAACATTTTAATATTTCTTCCACAATGAAATAACTGTTCCCTACCTTACCGACTTGTACACGTACCAACTTAAGCAACCTACAATATTAGCTGTTGATAACAGATAACGAAAAACAACTAACAACGATATTTTTCACAGATTCAATAAAATTCTCTTCACGGGCCACGTGCAATCAAGTCGAGAGATGCAACGTGCATCAATGTGACGAACTTTAATTAAACCTAAAATGGAAACTTGGGAAATAAACGAAAGGTCGTCAATTGATTCTCACTTTCACTGTGTAAATTTCTTACTTCACTACTTTAACATTCTTTCTATATGACAACTTTAAAAGTATGATAAACGTGAGAACTAGTTTTGATATCGAGATCGAAAACAGCAGAATAGTAGTGAAAGTAATGAAAGAGTAATGATCCACATGGATCCAAGGAATTAAATTAATGATATCGATTACACGATAAACCACCTCTCATTTCAAAAAGAAAGAAAACAAAAATAATTTGATGCAATAAAAACCAAGCCACATTCGATTCGTATCTTTAGCGCGGTTTGAGAAAAACACGCATGCGATTTATCCTATAAATGAAACCTGAATCCACCTTTCAAAGAAAAACCGCAAAAGTTGTATCGGAAATGGGAACGACCGGAAATAAATTTCTTTTTACGAGGGTGACGAACCAAACCTGCCATTTATGTTACCTCATTTACTTTCTTTCTTTTCATTTTGTTTATTTAAATCGATGA